CCCTCTCAGGCAGCTATAAAAGAAAGCAGCTCCAACTCTCTGCAGAAATCTGAACATCCTGTACAAAGAAGCTTCAGCAGCTCCTCATCACACTTTGAGACTTAAAGCTCCAACATGATCTTGCTCCTCTTCCTTCTCGGTCTTGCTCTGGGTGCTCCTTCTGAGTCTCCTTCTGATGACAATGAAGTGAAGCTACAACTTGGTAACTGTCCCACATTCTGGCTCCTCTTTTCCGTCATTTACTCATTGTAGTTTATTTTTTGTGGGGGTTTTCTTTTTTGTTTTTATCTTTTTAATATTATTTAGCAAATAATAGATTTTAAATGCACCTTTATCATGTTTCTTGTTTTGTTTTGCTCAGGATAAATATGTGTTAGTATAATTGGGGATACATGCATTAATTTGGTTCCACGTTTCAAACCTCCAGCAGAACCAGGCTCAGACAGGAGCAGCCATTTGCTGTGACTGGTGGAACTTTAGGCCTCATCAAAAAGAAAAGCTTAATATTAAAAGTAGATTATTGATTATCTGTGTCCTTAATCCAAACTGGCTGATTACACATTAGAGGAGGCTTAAAGCGAAAGGCTCTGCCTCCCATTCTACTTTTAATTAACCTCAAAACCACAAGTAAAGCAACAGTCTGAGAGCAAAGTACTCCATTGCTCTTAAAATAAGATGTAGCCTGAGTATTTAATACACTGTATATGAGGAGATGGATTCTTAATTTTAATCTGGATTTAGCAGGGAGCTGATGCAGTGAAGCTAATATGTAATGTTTCTTTCTATTCCCTGAAGTACACACAGAAAAGCAGCCTGACACCAAGTCTCACCTTTAGGATATTAGCAGTACAGATCAGGTTTCTTCTGTTACTAAAAAACAAATCATGATCTTTTTCCTCTTCTTGTTTCTGTCTTTTTCAGATGACCGAGCAGTGAAGCTCCTGAGAGGAAACTGTCCCACGTATTGGTGGAGCTTCAACGGCCGCTGCTATAAGTATGTAGCTACACCAAAGAGCTGGTCTGATGCAGAGTTCTACTGTTTGTCACAGGGAGCCCACCTGGTGTCTATTCACAACATGGCGGAAGATAACTTTGTCAGATCCTTGATCAGGAACTCCGACCCTGATGAGAGGGCCACCTGGATTGGACTCAGTGACATCCACAGTGAGGGCAGATGGATGTGGTCTGATGGCTCTGTGGTAGACTTTTTTAACTGGAAAAAAGGCGAGCCAAACAATAGAGGAAATGAAGACTGTGTTACAAGAAACTATCGTAAAATTAAGCAGTGGAATGACTGGCCATGTTCTTCTAGTTGTGCCTCTGTTTGTTTAAAGCACAAAGTCTGTGCTTAGAAATTAAGATACTAATTCAGCAAGGACATGCTATGGTGACATGCATGTGGCACGATACAGAAAGCAATGTAAACGTTTATGTCTGTATATAAATAGCAAATCACTGAACTTTAACATGAATGCCTATTCAGTCATACTAATAAATTTACACACCTCCTGATGAGCTCAAAACTGAGTGATAATTTATAATAAGAATGTCAAATGATTTTTGGTAACAAACATGTTCTGAAAAGGATTCGGATTATATAATAATAATATTCTACATGCTCACCGTGCTTTTAGTTACAGAAGCTTTCTGAGGTCTTTCCAAGATAAAAACAAACAAACAAAGACGTTACTAACAAAACATGAAATTTAATGATCAGTACCTCTATTGTGTAGTTATGTGTATGAACAGACTATTGTATAATATGCAGCCAGGTTAAGTCATGTTTCTTTGGGGGGGGGGGGGGGGGGGGGGGGGGGGGTGGGGGGGGGGGGCCCCCACTCTTGCTTTCACACTACACACACTTAATAGCTCCAGAAAAACTAAAAATCTTCAAAAAGGTGAGAAAAGGTGCACAATGTTTTCCCTGAAGACAAAGGCTGCAGTTCAGCAAATCAGTGCATGGGGGACATTAGAGCCAGTGTCTCTAACACACCCTGCTATCAAAATATGATAAAAGTAACCGGTGTATGACAGAGTGGCCAGAATCCAAGCACACGTTTGTCTGCACAGTCAGCTTAATGAGACTTAACAACATTCACAAAACAGTAACTCAGAAAATGTTTTTCAGTTGTTTTTTGAAGTATTAATGTTTACAAATTTGAATCTTCACAGCTGGAATTTAAGTACCTGTTATGAACATTATGGCCACTTGAGTGCAGCAGAAGAAAAAGGTCCTGATGTCAGATGCTTTAATTATCAGGTGTCTTACTTTTACATCCATTACGATGAGCGTTGTTGGAAGCATTTGTGTATGACAAATAACATGTTAAATACTCTGTTCTAGTTTTATAGCTCTAGTGTCAGGGGTTGACATTTGTTCAAACACAAATAAGAGAGAAATGAGACAACTGCAGACCGACTCAGAGAGTATTAGAAAACGTGCGCACGGGTGAATGCCTCTGAGAAGACACACACACCGAGTGCAGGCTTGCTTGCTTTATTTATAGTGAAAGTAAGTTACATAGTACTTCCACTTTTAACTGTAAAGGGAGAGGTCAGGCATTATCTCAGCTTATCTGACCTTGCACACATACACTGAAAATAACAATGCAGAAGTATATCATGCTTATCTGACATCACACACTGAGGAAAGGAATGCATTATGTTCTCTTTAACACTTAGCTTGGTTATGTGAAAATATATGAACACACAAAATATAAGGCACACTTGATTATATTGTATTATAGAGGTTTGGTTATATTGTATAATGTAGAAAATCTCTAACATCTAGTTTTCTAGACTTAAAGCTTCAACATGATCTTGCTCCTCTTCTTGTTTGGGCGACTCTGGGTGCTGAGTCCTCTTTAATGTTGAGAATTTTTTCAGTCTTTGTTTATTAGAACAGTAAGTAGAGCTTGTGAGCTGCTCTCTTCCTGTTACAACTCTGACCTTCCATATTTGTTTAATCATTATGCTGAAAAGGACTTTGATAACATCATAAATGCAGAATTACAGCAAATACACTCACATTCTTCTGAGTCTGCCATGAGGACGTGGCTGTTCAGCAATTATTAATTTCTTTAGAATCTGATGGTGTTTACTGCCTGGTGTTAGTGATGTTTACAGTGGAGAGTTTTGTTCCATTTGGCCAATGATATCACAGTGATTAGTGAAAACACCCTCTCAGGCAGCTATAAAAGAAAGCAGGACAAACTCTCTGCAGAAATCCTGTACAAAGAAGCTTCAGCAGCTCTTCATCACACTTTGAGACTTAAAGCTCCAAATTGATCTTGCTCCTCTTCTTGTTCAGTCTGGCTCTGGGTGCTCCTTCTGAGTCTCCTTCTGATGGCAATGAAGTGAAGCTACAACTTGGTAACCATCCTATATTCTGACTCTTCCCTCCCTTCTTGTATTTTAACTTTATTTGTGTGGTTTTTTTTTTTATTATTATTATTTTAATTACATTTTAGTCAAACACTCCAGGATTTTCTGCTTGTTATGTTTCAGCAGTCAGTGATACAAAATTCTTGGTGCTGGATTGTAACACAAATGTTTTCCCCATGTCAGATGGGTTCTACTGTAGCGTAGAGTTATTATAAAGACTGCTTATAAACACAATAAGAGCAGCTTACTTCTGTGCATGTTTCACAGTGTCAACTGTGCAGACATGCTTATCTGATATTCAGTGTCACGGTTCACTGAGGACTCACACGCAGGACTCTTGAACTTGAGAAGATCACAGTGGCATTTACTACACTTTTCACCAGGTGTGTGTACAGACAGTTCGGGGAATAGTGCTATATACAAAGGTGACAGGAGTATGGGCTCCAGGGGATCCAAGGTGGGGAGGACAGGGGGAAAACACTCCTTCCTCTTCGGTCACTCACTGCTTGCTGCCAGCCACTCTCCAATCACTCACGACCAGTGTTGGTCAAGTTACTTGAAAAAAGTAATCAGTAACTAATTACTGATTACTTCCCCAAAAAAGTAATCCTGTTACTTTACTGATTACTTATTTTCAAAAGTAATTAATTACTTAGTTACTTTTTAAAAACACGATTTACAACCTGAAGAGGTGATAAAGTGATAGATCTTTCAGCCCAATTCTACTTTTTCTGCATAATCCATCATACAAAATGTAATCAAATGGAAAAGTCTCTTTTTAAAACTTGTTTTATTAGTTTTAATCTTTTAACTTTATGCATCAAGCAAAATTAAATTATTGCAACATTCTCTGACTGGAAGAAATTTGTTTAATCATTTAAACCTATTTTCTGCACATTCCAGCACATAAATATTAATATTTTGTGTGTTTACACTCACGTCTTTCAAATAGATGCAAGTAAAACACAGCAGAAAATAAATAAAGTCAAAGACTCAGCGGTCCTTTTGCTCTATTTTCACCTGTAAAGCAGGAGTGGGGTAGGCGGAGGTTTACCCTGGTGCAGGTGTGCTCAGCGGTCAGTGGAAGAATCCGCTGAGTTTCTCTGTGAGTTTCCCATTACGTCGTAGCTACTCGGTGCTTGTTGGAAGTTTAGGGGGTTTTTTTCGCTGTAAAAAGAAGTTTTCTTCCCACGCACATGCGACACTAATGTTTTTGTCACTTTTTATGGAATCAAACTAAAGTAAGGTCAGTACTTCCACGCTTTAAACGCTGCACGCTCATACTCTCTCCCACTCGATATATTATCCACTGTTGATCTGCAGACAGCTGTTGTCACAAACGTCGCACTTGCTTACATCACTGTCATGAGACATTCTCGCAAAAAAAAAAATCACGGTTTTAGTAACGCAGTAACGCAGTGTTCCTATGGGAAAGTAACGGTAATCTAATTACCGTTTTTGCAATAGTAATCCTTTACTTTACTTGTTACTTGAAAAAAGTAATCGGATTACAGTAACGCGTAACGCGTTACTGTTACTGAGTTACTGAGATGAGCAGCGTTACTGCCCATCTCTGCTCATGACAAGGAATCCTCTCAGGGTAAACAGGGACGGATCCAGGCAATCCAAGTCACACAACAATCCAGCAATGAAAGCTAATAGTAGTAGTTTTCTCTGGTCCCCTCCCCAATCAGACCAGGAGTGACATGTTTAGCCGCATGTTCTCCTTAAATTGCAAAACAATAAGCAGAGAGCGGTGGAGAGTAGACTTTATCAAAGTAGATGTCTTTCTGAAAGCGCTGTAACTAAGTTTAAGAATATAATCCACCCACTGTTATCATCTTCAATGCCCTGTACCAACACAGAGCAGAGCAGCTATCTGAACGCTACCCCAACAGAGGTCGATTATCTTGTTAATAATTTCACCTCCTCACTACGTACGACTCTGGATACTGTAGCTCCTGTGAAAACTAAGGTCTCTAATCAGAAGTACCTGACTCCGTGGTATAATTCTCAAACACGTACCCTAAAGCAGATGACTCGTAATCTGGAGAGGAAATGGCGTGTCACAAATTTAGAGGATCATCATTTAGCCTGGAGAAATAGTTTGCTGCTTTATAAGAAAGCCCTCCGCAAAGCCAGAACATCTTACTATTCATCACTGATTGAAGTAAATAAGAACAACCCCAGGTTTCTCTTCAGCACTGTAGCCAGGCTGACAAAAAGTCAGAGCTCTTTTGAGCCAACCATCCCTTTAACGTTAACTAGTAATGACTTCATGAACTTCTTCACAAATAAAATTTTTATCATTAGAGAAAAAATTACCAATAATCATCCCACAGATGTAATATTATCTACAGCTACTCTTAGTACCATTGATGTTAAGTTAGACTCTTTTTCTCCAATTGATCTTTCTGAGTTAACTTCAATAATTACTTCCTCCAAACCATCAACGTGTCTTTTAGACCCCATTCCTACAAAACTGCTCAAAGAAGTCCTGCCATTAATTAATTCTTCGATCTTAAATATGATCAACCTATCTCTAATGATCGGCTATGTACCACAGGCCTTCAAGCTGGCTGTAGTTAAACCTTTACTCAAAAAGCATCTCTAGACCCAGCAGTCTTAGCTAATTATAGGCCAATCTCCAACCTTCCTTTCATATCAAAAATCCTTGAAAGAGTAGTTGTCAAACAGCTAACAGATCATCTGCAGAGGAATGGTTTATTTGAAGAGTTTCAGTCAGGTTTCAGAGCTCATCACAGCACAGAAACAGCTTTAGTGAAGGTTACAAATGATCTTCTTATGGCCTCTGACAGTGGACTCATCTCTGTGCTTGTCCTGCTAGACCTTAGTGCAGCATTCGATACTGTCGACCATAATATCCTATTAGAGCGATTAGAACATGCAGTAGGTATTACAGGTACTGCGCTGCAGTGGTTTGTATCATATCTATCTAATAGACTCCAGTTTGTGCATGTAAATGGAGAGTCCTCTTCACACACTGAGGTTAATTATGGAGTTCCACAGGGTTCAGTGCTAGGACCAATTCTGTTTACATTATACATGCTTCCCTTAGGCAGCATCATTAGAAGACATAGCATACATTTTCACTGCTA